AAAGAGTGAGGATAGTATGCTTATGCCTTTGTGTGGTGTTGTGTTTTGTAAGAGTGTTTGTGAATACTTTTGGAAAGTTTAGGTACACTTTATGACATTTGACATAATATTAGTTAGAGTTTATGGGTCATATAAGTGTTTTATGGAGAATTACATGTCAAATACTAAGAAATATTAAGAAACATTTTCGAGTAAATTTTCTATAAAACTTTCAATGTATTATATAACGCAAACACTTTTAGCAAAACACTTACGAACATAAATAATTCTTACACAATCAATTCCAACAAGCTCCCAATCTTAAAAACTCAAAGAGTTCATCAAGACTTTCAGTTTGTACATGCTTATTGTAGCACTCAACTTATATAAATTATTTGGTAAGCTTTTTTCTCTCCGTCGTGAGAGCCTTTTCTCCTCTGTGAGAATCCGCCGTTGTGCGAGTTTCAGTGTGGGTGTGGGTGCTCTTTCCTGCTGGTTCTGGGTTCTCATCTGGTGTTGATGGATCTCCGTTAGGGCGACGTTTGCGAGGGGTGGGTGGATCTCTTTTGGGGCGAAGTTTCGAGGGGTAGGTGGAGCTCTTTATTTTTCTGCGATTGTCTTTGTTTGGGGTTGTATCTCTTCTGATTGTGGTGGGACTTTGGTGGGGCTGTCTGTCCGTGTCCTGTTTGTCTGCTGTGGTTCTGGATTTCTGTAGGGGGGTTGTCAGATTGGGGTTGGTGGAGCTTTAATTTCGTCTTGTGTTCTGCGATTGGGTTCGAGCTTCTTCTGGTGGGGCGGGTTAGAATGGAGGAGAGTGGTCAGGGATTTTATCCCTTCTATTATCTGAGTTGGGGGTTAGGGTTATACTGGGTGTTCAATTTGGGGGTTGAGATCTTATATCTCGGTACGATTGGTTTCGATGTGGGGTTGACAGTATGGCACAAATTTGGCCTCTGTGAGGATGGAGTTAAGGTGGGTTCTGACAAATCTCAAAGCATTGAATGCTGGGATGGTCTTTATGGGTCTTATGAGATGTTGGTTGGCAGCGTTAAAGGAGCTCATCCCCTTTTGTCCCCAAATGGTAGGGATGTGCAGGCTGATGCTTTTATTGACATAGTTATTGCACTTTTTTTTGCTATTACCGATGATTTGAGGCAGATTCAAGAGTTACGTCTGTCACCGGTGAAAGCTCATAGGGTTTTTTCTCTGAGCATTCCAAGTACTCTGCGGCATCTCTAGGGCTGTCGAAGGTGTGGAGTCTGCTACTTATGGAAAATCCTGGTGTGGAAGAGCTAGTTGTTCATTTGGATCGCTCGCTGGATCTGTCTACGATGGAGATTGGTGTTAAGTTAGTTGGTATGGCTTTGACGCAGAAGCCACTAAATAGGTGGGGGTATCAGAAACATCCTTAACTCGGTGTGGAAGGATCTAGGTGAAGTGGGAATTAAATGGGTCCGAGAGAATGTGTTCATTATCTCGGTTCCGGATCAGAGTGTGGCTAAGAAAATCCTGGCGCAGGTGCCATGGGCTGTCATGAAGAAAAATTTTGTAGTGAAAGCTTAGCCCCCGGACCTTGCTTTGGAGGAGGTTGACATGAAGACTGTTCCTTTCTGGGTTCAAATCTGAGGAGTCCCTTTAAGTTTGGTTTCCAAAGAGAATGTTACTCGGCTCATTAAGACGGCTGGTGTTTTTTCTGGAGATGGAGGATCCAGCAAAAGCTCGAGGCTTTTTAAGGGTGAGAGTGTTAGTTAATTCAGAGAACCCGCTTGTTCTTGGATGTTGGTTGAAAATGGAGGTTAACCGTGAGACTTGGGTTGAGTTTAGATACGAGAGGCTTCAAGATTTTTGCTATCATTGTGGGCGTATTGATCATATTAATACAGAGTGCTCTTTCGCGGCGAATATGGGTGGGGCGGAGGGCTATGGAGATTGGATTAAAGCTCCCCCTGTGCGCGAGTTTGTGGAGCATGTGCGCCCGTCGCGATTGGGAGTAGGCGAACGGAGGTTGGTTGGAATGGTTAGGGGCAGTGATCGTCCTGAGTTGAGGTTGCAGCGTTCGATCCACAATGAGGCTCCGAGCAGGAAAGACACTTCTGGGGTGACTGCTGGGGAGCTTGGTTCCCATGTTCGTGACAAGAAGAAATGGCGTAGGTTTCAGCGCCAAGCTTGTCCTGCTAGTCAGATTCAAGGGGTAGTGCCTCAGCTTCGTCGTCGCACCTGAGATGGGAGTGCGGTGATGAGAGTTTCCCGTCAGTTATTAATCAAGTGGTCTTTCAGGGGGGAGAAGGAGAGCATTCGGTTCGGATTCGGGATGTTAGTGAGGCAGATTCTGGGACTCCACCAGTTGGTGATTTAGAAGGGTTCACGGGGACTTTGGCTTCTACCTCTCGACTGTGCTCAAGCCTGTTGCGGCATGAGGTGGGTGGCATTAAGCGAGGAGTGGAGCCATCGAGTATGGACTTAGTTCCATCCCCGCAAAAGAAAACTAGAGGGCCCAACCCGGACGCGGATAGACAAGTGATACAGGACGGCACTATGGAAGTAAGTGATCTGTGGGATCAGGTGGAAGCTGATGCGGGAGAGAATGAGAGATGTGTCTTAACTGTTTGTGCGGGCAATCTGGCTCGGGGTGGTGGCGGCTGGCCCTCAACAGCCGCAAGATCGCCATGATTCTGGTGTTTTGGAACTGCCGTGGTCTAGGGTCGGACACGGCAGTTAGGGCCCTCCATGGGCTTATTAGAAACAAACGACCTTCTATGATCTTTTTATCTGAAACTAAAATGAAAAATCATAGATTAAATGGTGTTAGGAGACGTATGGGTTTTCATTATGGTATTAATGTTTCTCCGGTTGGCAGGGCAGGTGGGCTAAGTTTGTGGTGGGGTGATTCAGTGGAGGTGCAATCTCTGTTTTCTTCTAAGCATATTATTGATGTTATCTTGCGCAAGGGTGGGGACAGTAATTGGGTCCGTATTACTAGAGTGTATGGAACTCCCTACAGGGAGGATAAGGCTGAGTTTTGGGAGTGGATGTCGAGTCATTTTTCTCCTGCTGATATTCCGTGGCTTTGTGCTAGGGATTTTAATGAATTTCTTTGGGATCATGAGAAGTCTGGGGGGTGGAGGTTCTCTACAACAGGCCTAGGTATCTGGAGACTTTCATGCAGGTTACCAATTTGTGGGATTTGGACTTTAATGGTCCTGCTTTCACTTGGCATGGTATGCGCCATGGTCATCTGGTGGAGGAACGGATTGATCGGGCTTTGATAAACGGGCTTTGGCAGGATTTGTGGCCGAATTCTTTGGTTACGCATGGGACGGTTATGGGGTCTGATCATTGTCCTCTCATTATTCAAACCGAGTCGGAGAGTATGCGGGGGCGGAGAGCGTTCAAGTTTGAGGCGTTCTGGGCTAAAGAGATTGATTGTGATCAGGTGGTGCGCTCTTGCTGGAATAGGCAGGCTCCGAGTGAAATTTTGGTGAGGTGGACGAAGAAAATAAAAAACGATTGCAAATCTAGTCTTATTCGGTGGAGCCGAAATAAATTCAAGAAGAGAGGTCTGTTGATTCAGGAACTCCTGCATCAGTTGCAGGAGCTTCAAATGGATTGGCGCTCTAATATTGAAGTCATTAAGCAGAAAAACTCAGCTCGTCGATGAATTGAGGGCTCAGGAGGAAAGCTATTGGATGCAGCGTTCTAGAGTTAGATGGCTTCGTGATGGGGATGCCAATACAAAGTTCTTTCATAATTCTACTTTGCAACGAAGACGACGCAACCAAATTATCAAAATTAAGGATGAGCTTGGGAACTGGGTGGAGCAACCGGGACGTGTTCGAAAATTGGTGGAGTATCATTTTATTCACACGTTTACTACTGGGGGAGCCCGGAACTGGGGATCTTTTTTGGATTGTATTAGCCCGAGAGTGACGGAGGATATGAATCTGGCGCTCTTTAAGCCGGTGTCCGAGGATGAAATCAAGACAGCGATCTTTAAAATGGGTGGTCTTAAAGCTCCGGGACCGGATGGTTTTCAAGGCATATTCTATCAATCTTTTTTGGAGCATGTCTATGAGGATGTCTGTGCTTTGGTGAGGGAGCTGATGCAGGGGTCGTCTAGCCCGACTTCTCTTAATGCTATGTATATTGTTCTGATCCCAAAGGTTCCGCACCCGGAGACGGTTTCGCAGTTTCGGCCTATTAGCCTGTGTAATTATTCTTACAAGGTGTTGTCTAAGGTCTTGGCAAACCGGTTAAAGGTGATTCTTCCTATGCTTATATCTCCCTCCTAAAATGCTTTTGTGGCGGGTCGTCAAATTCAGGATAATATCGGGATTGCTCATGAAATGTTCCATTTTTTGAAAGGGAGAACTGCGAAACGGAAGTTTGAAATGGGAGTCAAATTGGATATGCAGAAAGCCTATGATAGAGTTGAATGGGATTTCCTTGATGCGGTTATGGAGAGAATGGGGTTTTGTAGTATGTAGAGAAGGCTTGTCATGGGTTGTGTTTCTACAGTTAATTTCGCTGTCCTTCTTAATGGGCAGCCAGGCAACAAGTTTGCTTCGTCCAGAGGTCTCAGGCAGGGTGATCCTTTATCTCCTTATCTGTTTATCATTCTGGGGGAGGTTCTTTCGTGCATGATTCAAGCTGCGATTGACGACAAACAGCTGGAGGGAGTTAGGATTGGTGTATCGGGGCCCATTATATCCCACTTGTTCTTTGCGGACGACACTCTTCTTTTTTTGCGTGCGGGGGATAATTATTGTAGAAATTTGCTCTCTATTATTGATAGGTACTGTGAAGCTTCGGGGCAGAAAGTCAATCTCCAGAAGTCCAGTATTTATTTTGGTGCGAATGTTCCGAAAGGGGTGGCTGCCAATTTGGGTGGCATTCTTGGTGTGTCTGTAGTGGATAATCCTGGCACTTATTTGGGTGTCCCTACCATCTGGGGTCGGTCCAAAAAGCGTGGCCTTGCTTATGTGAAGGGCAGAATTTTGGGAAAGCTCCAAGGGTGGAAGCAGAGTGCGTTGTCGAGGGCGGGCAGAGAAGTTCTGATTAAGGCTGTGGTCCAGGCCATTCCTGCTTATCCTATGTGCATTTTTAAATTTCCTTCTGTGGTCTGTCATGAGTTGGATGCCCTGGTTGCGAGATTTTGGTGGGGAAGCCATGGGGAGAACCGAAAGATCCACTGGGTGTCTAAGGAGGTTCTGGGCCTTCCCAAGGATATGGGTGGCCTAGGTTTTAGAAATTTTCAGGAGTTTAATGATGCGTTACTTGCTAAGCAATGCTGGCGTTTGCTTACGGAGCCGAATTCATTGTGGGCGAGGGTTATTAAGGCCAGGTACTTCTCGCATTGCTCTTTTTGGGAGGCTAAAAAAGGGGCTCGGGCTTCTTGGGCTTGGTCCAGTCTTCTCTCGGGCAGGGAGCTTCTTGCTAGCGGATCTCATTGGCAAATCATGGGTGGGGAAGAGGTGAGGGTTTGGGTGGATAGGTGGCTGCCCTCTCTCCCTTCTGGTCACCCTATGCCGCTTGGTTCTGTCTCTCTTACGTCGAACTTACGGGTTAGCTCCCTCATTGACTCCTCTTCCCGGCAATGGGATTTTGATTTTCTAAGACCGTTTCTTTCTTTAGCGGATCAACGGGCTATTCAGGAAACAATTATTGGAGACTCGAGGTGGAAGGACAGGCTTGTTTGTTTGGGCTGCTAACCGGAATGGCAAATACTCTGTGAAATCGGGGTATAGGTGGCTTCAAGTTCGCTCTATTGAGGTGAGGGATCATCGGATGCCGGTTGTTCGTTCGATTTCTAAAACTCTGTGGAAATGCATTTGGCAGTTGGCTGTTCCTCCCAAAATTCAGCATTTCTTATGGGTTTCGTTGCATCTTGGCCTGCCTACTGGTAAGGCTCTTTTTACAAGAAGGTTATCCTCCTCTCCCTCTTGTCCTCTTTGTCAGAATATTGATGAAACTGTGGAGCATGTCTTCCTTCGCTGTCCTTGGGTGGCGGCTGTTTGGTTTGGTGGAGCGTTGAATTACAAAGTGGACGCTGCCGGTATTGTTTCGTGGGATAGGTGGTTGCAGGATGTGTTTTCTCCTAACTGGGGTTCTTCGGCTGACAGGCAGTGGTTCCAAGCTTATGTTTCGTTCTCTTGTTAGTTCATCTGGAAAGCTCGCTATGATTTTGTGTTCAACCAGGTTCCTGTCAATCCTTCTAAGGTTATTTTTTCGTTGTCGACCGCCTTCGGGAACTTTTTGCTTGCTGTGTCTTCTGTGGGTATTGCTCGGCCTGTCTCGGTTTCTCGGGAGGAGGTTGCTGTCAGGTGGTGTCCTCCTTCTTCTCCTTTTGTTAAGATCAATGTGGATGCTTGTTGGTCTAAATCATCTCGGATGGGTTTTGCGGGGGTGGTTGCTAGACAGGACGGTGGGCGTTTCCGGGCTGCGGTAAGGTCTTCTGTTTTGGCTCCTTCTTCTCTTGTGGCTGAGTCCTTTGCGATCCTGCGTGGTTGTGAATTGGGTGCCTCGTTGGGTTTCAGTTCTGTTATCATTGAATCTGACTCTCTTCAGGCTATTTCCTATTTAAATGGTTCTCTTGAAAATGGCAGTTGGGAGGCTTTCCCCATTTTGGCTAGAGCTCAAAGGTTGGGATCAGCTTTTCAGAACTGTCGCTGGTCTTGGGTTCCAAGATCAGCCAATTTGGCAGCGGATGTTCTTGCGTCGGCTGATGTTACGGAGATGTGTGATTTTGTTTGGGTTGACAAACCCCCATCTTCGTTAGTTCATGTATTAAGTAATGACGGACTGCCTTGCCCTCATTAGCAGGTTGTGGTGGGTTTGGGGTGACACTCTCTCTTAGTGATTGTGTCGGTTGTTGTATCCCTGCTCACTGCTTTGCTTGGTCATTATTTCGTTGTGTTTGCCTTGTCGTAGGCTCTCTTGCTTCTGTTTGGCTTCTTAGCCTTGGGTTTCTTAATTTAAACTCAATTCTTCAAAAAAAAAAAAAAAAAAAATTATTTGGTCTTGTCGAATGAGATGCCGTCAGCAGCTAGACAACATGACCCATGACTTTCATATATTCATGCCTCTATTATTTGGTCCAAAGTTGAAAGGGAGCTTGAAAAAGTTAAAGCAAACTATAATTTTCATAGGAATTAAAAACTCAGTCCAATGTCAGCAATGACCAAATAGGAAACCCCTTGAATAATTCAGTTAAAAAAGCTCCAAAACCTCAAACCATGTCAAGTTCTAAACGTCATCGATTATCCCATGTTACCAAAAATAATCGAGTATTTAATAAGAGTTTAATTACTTGAATCTCCCAACCTGTAAGAAAATATGATTAATTAAGATTCAAATTAGTGAATAGGAATCTATTTTCTAACCAAATTGTATCACTTGCTCAACAAGCATTATAATTTGAGCAGATTAATAACATCTCGACTTTAGTTCTACTGTTGTTTTAGTTCGCATCAAAGTCCTCGCAAGGCAGCCAAGTCAGCAATGAGTAATCAGAGAACGCTAGTGAGCCTTTCTGGTTCACTTTTTTTTGTACGCTTTTTCGGTCCTTTTCCTGGGCATCATAAGAATCCAGTTATTGTAACTGTTTATCATACATCGTGCGATCAGAAACTATTTCAAAATTTAAAATTAAATATAAATAATACCTAACAAAAACTGATCGCACGATATACAATAATCAATCACGATCATGAAATCTTTAGGATCTCTAAAAACAAGGATCCCTTTCCCGCTTTTTGGGACACTTTTTTTTTCTCCTGGTGGTAGGATTTAACAGAAGCCGACGAGATGTAAAGGACGTGGCGCACGGGCCTCGCATTTCCATGCACTATATTAGAACACCTTTGTCCTCTCACTCATGGAAATAAGCATATTCCTCAGAATGTACCATTTTTATGCCTTCTTTTTTTATTTTTCAACAAGATATTAAAATATTCAAAGTGGCAAAACACTTTTTGTTCTTTTGAGTTTGTGAGGCGGAGCTTGATTCTTCAGTTGGAGCATTATTTGGAATATTAAACAAGTAATTAGATGCATATGGTTGGAGTTTTATGGTATAATATTATGCAGGGAAATGGCCAAATTGGGATGATCAATTGAAACTAATTGTATAGTTAAAGACGTTACGGCCGGGGAATTATGTTTCGTTGCATAATTTGTTATAATTTCTCATATGTACGTATTGTCAACATAATCAATTTTATTTCTGCACGTAAATTAATAAGCATAGTGACGTACTCCGCGTGTAAGACTATTCAAATCATATTTATTGATTACATTATTAACTTACCTATTTGATGTCGCCTATCAAGTAAGCCAACTTGTATAAAAGATATACGTATCTAGAGACCATGGGCTTCGCGAGGGAGAGTTAAATGATTTACTTGTAGTGTTTTTTTTTTATTTGTTCATGCTCATAAACATAAAAGAAGACAAAAGTTTATACAAAGTTAACAAATTTAACAAAAGAAATTTCAACGGTTGATTCTTCTTTGATATCTCGTATGTGAATCATGTGATCATATCAATAATGGACTCAATAATTAAGATGTTCATAACAAAAAAGAAGATAATTATATTTATTTGGAAAAAAGAGAAAATTGAGGTTGCTCATGCACCCTTTCCATAAGTGACACCCAAATAAGAATGACGGCTCTCATAGGTGGCGCCCATTTTTTTCAATAATTTTTTTAGTGAAAGTATTTTTATTTATTTTCATATGATTTTTTTTTAACGATGGAAACTATTTTCATATGATTTCAATCACCTAGATCCATGTCTCTTTTTTTTTTTAATTAATTTAAAAAATAATTACATTTACCATGGCAAAGATACTTTGATGAAACTAAACAGGTCACATGGTAGCCATCCGTCAATCAATTGGTTTAATTTTAGACAAGTAATAAATATTTATTGAACGTTGTCATTACTTGATAAGTATTATCGATCAATTAATTAATTGATTTACTTGCATTAAATCGGTTACGCCATTGAAACTACGCATTGAAAAAAAAAAAAAAAAGCAACTGAGGCTATAAAGAATATCCGATACGATCCCCAAAAGCCCCGACCTTCTCTCTATAAAAACGACGCTTCTATCTCTCCCCGTCCGTCATTCTGCTATTCTCGATAAGCTGACATGAAACTGGAGTTCAATAATCATCACCATCCAGAGGATCAAGAGACCGATAGCGATAGCGAGATGTGCAGAACTATCGAAGTCGTCGCTGGAAGCGGAGGCTTCCAGCTATCTCCGGCAAAGCAAACCCCCGAAGACGACGTCTGCGCCGACGACCTCTTCATTCCGCCGCTCAACTTCTCCTTGGTCGATAACGGCATTTTCAGGTCGGGTTTCCCGGAGTCTGCCAACTTCTCCTTTCTCCAAACCCTAGGCCTCCGCTCCATCATGTAAGCAAATTCATTTCCTGCTATATATATTACATATATGTGCGTGTGTAAGTGTTTGATAAATTTCATTTCCCAAAAAAAAGTATGATTAATTTCAGGTGTTTGATTTTTATATCTAATGACTGTCATTTATGAAATTTAAACTCAAGATTTATTCGGATAAAGCGGAGTCTAACGTTTTAGACCGAATTTTTATATGCAATTTAAGTGTTTTGATATTTTCTTTATTTCATAACGATTTCGTTGAAATTTGAACTCAGAACTTACTCCAATAAAGCAGAGTCACCCCTTGACCAAATTTTCATGTCTTGTTATAGTGTTTGATTTTTTCTATCTGAATTATGTATTCCTAATGTCATTATGTACACATGTATGTAGATGTTTGTGTCCAGAGCCGTATCCAGAGGCGAATATGGAATTTCTAAAATCCAATGGGATTAAGCTCTTCCAATTTGGGATTGATGGCTACAAGGTGTGTCTATTTTTCTGCTCAATTCGATTGGATTGGATATCGTCCCCTCAAGCTTAAGTTTAATTTTCTGCTTATATTTTTTTTATCTGTTTTTTCTGCTTATATTGATCATTATAAATTGACTGCCTTTAATCTAAACAATATCAATAATGTTTCGTAGGCTAGAATTCACACACACAATATATATTCATGAGTTACTGAATAAATCAATCAAGTAGTACATATATCATAAATGTGGTCACTTGGCGACCAGTGACGAATTCAGGATTTCGTGTGTGGAAGTGTCTCTCACATATATAGGTAATTTGAACTCATAATATGATATATTGAAGTAATTTTCATAAAAAGTGAAAGACCCTAAACCAATAGAAAGATCCAAAAATATTGCACAAATCTAGAAAGCCGAATATGAGGTATAGGGTAAGCAAGAAATATTATTAAATATAAGTTAAAGCCAAAAAAAAGTTAATAGAATAAGGAAGGGAAGTGAAGCATGCACCATAATAAGAGAGATGAAGAGAAAAATGAGGTCTGACCTGGAATGAAAAAGAATTTGATTTAGAACAGAAGAAAAAAAAGTTAGGATGGCCCCGGGGACCATTGGTCCATTAGTGGCTCCACCACTGTTACAACCAAGGAATGCATGGTAACCAACCTTGAATTTGATATTAAGGATGGAAAATATTATAGATGTGCTTTTAATGTTTTAATTTCAACTTTTGGTTTCAATTTTAACAATAAATGAGTCTTGATCACCAGGTGACTAATAGAGCGAGATTGTATGTACATTCATCATGTTTTACTAATACACGATTATCGTCATCAAGATGCAGTGTTGGATGAGTCATAATGGCTCATTTATTATGGACGTCCTTTTTGTTCTTCTTGTTTTTGTGTGATAAATTCAATAATTATATAATTATATAATTTTGTTAAAAAACGAAATTATTTATTTTGTGTGTGCGGTATTGTTTGTTGGTTTTGTTTTTTGGATGGGATGACAGTTATTTTGTCTTGGCGAGAAGGCCACGAGTTTCTGTCACGTATACTGAAACAATGTTTCATGGATCCTGCCTTGTGTTTATGGGATGCCGCCCTATGATATGTTCAGCAGTTTGTGTCTCTTTGCCAATGTTATTACACTAAACCATGGGGCGGCATCTTGTTTTTAATCTTTGCGACACGATGAAACAGATTTATGTTTAGTTTTCCGTCGACACATCCTTATTTTACATTCTTGAATTACTTTGATTGCATGGATGTTGAATCAAGTTCCTCATTACCGTGAATTCATATCCAGCGAAACTGATATCCGAAATTGAATTGTGAATTCAGGAGCCTTTTGTAAATATCCCGGACGATACAATCCGTGAAGCACTAAAAGTTGTCCTTGGTACTGCACGAACTTAACAATATTTCACTTAGTTTCTTACTTAACCAGACCTGCAGCACTGTGGCTTACACTAGTTTACTTGTATGCAAATGCAGATGTAAGGAATCACCCTGTCTTAATTCATTGCAAACGAGGCAAGGTATGTACAATATACACTGTTGGATTCCTATATTCATTCCCTGATTTTGAGTAATCCATGGTATCGCCGGTTCCAGATGGTTGCTAACTCAGAGTGTATTTTTCAGCATCGAACGGGTTGTCTGGTGGGGTGCTTGAGAAAATTGCAGAGATGGTGCCTCACGTCTGTTTTTGACGAATACCAGCGGTTTGCAGCTGCGAAAGCTAGAGTTGCGGATCAGAGGTTTATGGAGATGTTCGATGTTTCTAGCATGAAACATCTGCCGATGACGTTTTCATGTTCCAAGAAGTAAAATCAGCCAGTATTATTGAATGGCATTTGCTTCTTCATTTAGTCGAAGAAGAGAATCAATCGTAGGTCTTCTCCTAGCTACTTTGGAATAAATAAAA